AAGAGACAGGCCTGACCCCTTGCTCCGCTGCCCGACTCTCTGGCCCACGCCCGACCTTCTGCCCCCCTGCCGGGTCCCTGCTCCATCCTCTGCCCCATCCCCTGGCCCACCTGCACCTCCCTGCACCCTCCCCAGTCACCCCAGCTCTGTCCCCGGGGGAAGCTGCACCCCAGGCTCTGCCCGGGGACCGGCACTGGGTTTCGCTCGCACAGGGGCCCACTCGGCTGCCACAGTATCGGTTGCAACAACAAAAGCAATTAAACTGGGGTGGTAAACGCGTCCCCCGGGCTCAGTCCACCATCCTCAGGCAGGCACGGCACGGCACACTGCCTGCCCCTGCTGCTGCACCCCGGGCAGGGACTGCTGACCCACTGCAGGACAGGCAAACACCCAGGCAGGAGTATTTTGTTTTTTTCCCAGCTCCTATCAGTGCTCTGGAGGGGATGCACAAAAGAAACCCAAACGAATCTTCTGGTTTAATGTGATCCCTTAAAAGCAACTCCAACGCAGGGAGGAGGAAAGGTGCTGCAGCTGCCCCTCAGCTGAAAGCAGAGGAGAAGCTTCACAGCCCGACGAAAAAAACGCTCCTGGAGTGCTGGCCCTGGCTGAAGACACTAATCCCCCAGGATTACTATAGTCTCGTCGCGGCTCAGCCACTTACTCCGGGATGGTGACTTGGCTGCTCTTAATAAGATAATGGGATCCCTCATCCCTGTGGCGACGGAGAACTGCCACCCCTGGGCCCTGCCAGCACCCAGCTCTGCACCCACCCTCCCCACCCAGTTAATCCCAGCCCTGGGGGGGGACAGTTTTTAGGGCCAAGACCCAGGTTGCGTTTGCCTCAGGTGGGTGTTAAAGTCTCCGCTGCACTTCCCGGGACAGACGGGCAGACGCACCGCTCCACAGGTACGTGGATCCTCACCATTCTGCTGCACCAGATGGTTTCAAGCAGCAGCCAGATTTCTCCAGGAGCAGTCTGGTCCCTGCTCTGAGCCTGGGGGTGGGCACGAGGCAGCACCCCGGGGGTGGGGTACCTGCTCCTATCACAGGTACCTGCCCCTGTCACAGTCACCTGCCCCTATCGGGGATATCTGGCCCTGTCACGCCAGGCACGACGGGGCTCGACAGTCCCTATCACGACAGGCATGACAGCATCTGCGTGCATGGCAGGAGTGGCCTCTGCTGCACTGGAGGCAAAGCACCAACGCCAGCATCCCCAGCCCCAATAGCAGAGGGGACAGACCCAGAATCAAGCACCACAGCTGAAAGGGACACTGGGGCTTGTTCCCTCCACACGGTGAAGCCCCTCGGTGAGTGATTCCCAGCTGTGCTCTTGGCATGGAAAGTGGGCGCTTGGGTCCTTGTGGTGCAGCCCAGCCCCCAGCCTGGTGTTCCCCCTGGCTTAAGGGGATCCTGGAATTTTAATTAAATCACCCTTAGCTGGGTTTAGCATTGCTCTGAATGCTGCCACCGCTGCTGCCTACTGTCCCAGGATGTCCTGCAGGTGTGGTGCTTGCTTCCCAGAACGTTATCCTTCAGGGGTACCAAGAAATCACAGCTTCCAGAGGCCACAGCCCTGCAACTAGCACTTGGCCATCAGGTTTTAATGCCTCATTTGCAAGAAGAGATCTTAAGGCAGGTATGCAAAGAGCACACCCTGCAAGGCACAGCCAAAACCAGAGCATCCTCCGGAGCAAAACCCAATCCCCCCACCACAAGCATCAGATGGGTGTGACGTTTCCTACAATGCCACCTGCATAGGAAATAGGTAGTTTGTAAAATAACATGCAGGATCCATCCTTTAGCCATATTTACTGGCAACACCCTGTAATACCATCGAAACCTGTGTGCAGCCACACCAAGCTGCCCACCTTCTGCATACAGGCTTTGTGTTCCCAACATCCCCCCTTAATCCCACAAATTAAGTCAGCTCACCATCATTAACCTTTTTTTTCAATATCAAGCTTTCATGCAAGATCACTCCTGAACCAAACATCTCAGCTGGTGCTAAAGCCAGCTCAGAGAGATGGATGTTATTGTTATCGATGGTTTCCTACAGATGCTGCAGAGCTGGGACATGCAAGTGTCCGGCTGCTGCGGCACAGCCATGGTCGCTGTCTGGTTCCTCATGGCTGAGCTGCTCCAGCTGGTAAAACTCACATTTCAGAGGCCACCAGGAAGGACTTGAGGAAAAGGGAACAAGCTCCAAGTCTACCTGGCTTCACAGCAAGGGAGGGGGTGTCTTCAGCTAGAGGGCAAAAATAAAGAGTCAAGACGAAAATCTGAAAATTAATTTAAAGGCAATTTCACGAGAGTTCCCGGAGCAAAAGGAAACCTGGATACCCCTGTGGCTGGCAGAGCCGCGCTCCCCAAGCTGAAAGCACCGAGTGGGGAGTGGGGGTGGCAGCGGACACACCATACCAGGGCTCAGGAGGGGCCAGTGTGACCCCTGGGGACAAATGCCACCACTACAGGGACGCACTGGGGTGAGAGGAATTTCCTTCTTGCTTTACTGAGCCCAGGGAAGTTCCCTGCTGTGGTTCACTACA